TAACCACTTGTATTTATTTTAATATGAATAAAAACCTATGCTTCAATATTATATAAATAAAAAAATTAAAAGAGTACAAAAAATGAGTATATAAAAAATATAGTTAATGTGCAATGCACGTCATAAAAAAGACTACAATGCACGTCATAAAAAAGACTAATATATATAAAACGTTCCAATTAAGTGTATGGATTGATAAAAATATTATTAAGAATTTTAATTTGATTGGTTGAAAAAATAAAGGTAATTTAATTTTGATTGATAATATTAATTTCCTATTTAAATCTAAATTCTATTATATAATATATATATATAAGGTACATATTAAATATGGTAATATCATTCGGTTTCACCTTTCTTAGAACTAGAACCAGAGATTTTGGAACCGAAATCGGCGATAACTATAAACATGACTAGCATAAATTTATAAAAAATTTAAAATCCATATAAAATTTTGAAATATAATCATTGAATTTTTTAAAATCTATCCTTAAGATGTGTAATTTTCTACGTGTGTCAAATTTTATTAATAAAAATGAGAAGTTTCATGTCTAAAATGGTCAAGCGTACTTCTTTTTACCCTAATAAACCAATGAAGTGACCTAATAGCCAAAATAAAAATCATTTACATCCGGATTTAAACCTCACTTTTATCCCTCTATCCCTCTTTAATTTGTAATCTCATTGAACAATACTAAATTTCTCATATAAGTAATTGAGAAATATTGTACTAAATATAGAAAGTCAACATATTGATTGAAGAATATTAAATTTTTTACGATGTAATTGATAAATGCTACAATTAAATATAAAATAATATGTTTGTACATGACTATTTTAAATAAAATAATCAATTATATCAATTAATAGTTCATATATTTACCATAAGCAATACTTTATGTCTTTCTATAATAAATTACCCATGAAATAATGACACTCTTCCTTCTGCAAAGTGCAAAGCAATAGCGAATCTAAAATTCCGTTTATTTATTGACAATAAATAACTTTATATATTATACTCTTATATATATTATATATATTATATATACTTATATTATGATATATCTATGGATTGATAAAAAAATATCATTAAAGATTTTAATTTTATTGATTGAAAAAATGAAAAAAATTTAATTTTGATAGGTTATATTAATTTTCTGTTTAGATATAAATTCTATTGGATAATATTATATACCGTAGAAGGTACATATTAAATGTGGTAATACTATTTGGTTACATCTTTTTTATAATTGGAACCAAGATTTTGAAACTAAAATCAGCGGTTCTGCACCCGTGATCATGCCTAGCATGTACCAATATAAAGTTTAAAAAAAATTCAAAATACATATAAAATTTTAATATATAACCATTGAATTCCATAAAATGCAACCTTTATATGTGTAATTTCTATTACTACTAAAAATGAAAGCTTTCATGTATAAAATGGTCAAGGTGCTTTTTTGCCCTAACAAGCCAATAAAGCATAGACATAACAGTCAAAATAAAGGTTATTTACATCCGGATTTGAATATTATTCTCATCCTTATTTAATTTGTAACCTCATTAAAAAATACTAAAATTTTCAAACAAATGATTAAAAAATATTGTGCAAATATATAAAATCAACATATTGATCGAAGAATATTAAATTTCTTATAAGGTAATAGATAAATATTGTAATCAAATATAGAAAAATCAATTTGTACTTGACAACTCTAAAAGAAATAATTAGCTATATCAATTAAATGTTCATATATTTACCATAAGTAACATGTTATGTCTATATGTAGCAAATTACCATCAAGTAGTAGCACTCTTTCATCCACAAAGTGCAAAACAATAGCGAAATCAATTTTACTATTACAATAACTAATATACTAATCATGATTTTAAATCGTCATTTATAATTTTGGTATATTTTTCTTTTACATTTTGCTAAAGTCTTGAGCATATAATTAATTTTATGAATTTTTTTTTTAGAAAGAAATTCTTTCAATGTATTACATGGTTTGCTAATATAACATGTTACATCATAATTTTAATTATATATATATTTCTAGTGAGTTTTATTTTCTATTTTATATCAAATTATAATATATTCATTAATAAATAATAATCAATTACAGTTATTTTTTCTACAATAAGTTACTTCTAGAAATAATTATAACTAATCAAATTAAAATTTTATTAAATATAATAATTAAAAATATTATATTTAAATATGTACCTTATATATTATAATAAAACCAATTAAAATTAAAATACCTTTATTTTTCCACTAATAAAATTAAAATCCTTAAAAATATAATATTATTACGATATTTACTATATAACATAATTTTTTAGTTTATCCAATAGAATTTATATTTAAATAGAAAATTAATATGACCAATCAAAACCAAATTAGCTTTATTTTTTCAACCAATTAAATTAAAATCCTTTATGATATTTTTTTTTTCTATAAATTTGATAGGGATGTTTTTGGCAATCTTAATGTTTTCTCAGCTCATTCCCATGATACATATATATACAATCAATTGTTGCGTAGAAACAGTCCATGGGAACACTTTTAAAAAGTAAAATCTACATAGAAAATCAAAACCCTAATCTTGGCTCTTCTGATTTTCTTAGCTAAGTAATTAACAACCTTTCAAATTAATAAAATGGCCCTTTGACTTGTTGGCTTTTGCTAGAGAAATGACAACAGCTACAAGTTAAAATTAATGGATCTTAATTGGTTTTTTGCTAATGGAGTCATAATCCAAGATTGTCATCTTATATTCTCCAACTTTAAATATTGATTTTTAATTAATTAATTAATTAAATTTTCATTTTCTAATTCTCAAATATGTTTAAAATTTTTATTATTAAAATAATTTATTTATTTATTTTTATACTATAAAATAAAAAGGCCTGAAAAGTGAAGTGTAAATTACACTTGTTAGTGCTCCCTATTTGTGGAATTTAATTATATGGTGTCTTGATTTTACCTAAGCCTATGTTGTGCTATTCATATTTAATCCTTTTGATTAACAACAAATTTAGCAAAGGGATTAATTAGGACAAAATTGAGAGATTATATACCTAAATTTTGAAAATAAAGGTCCTTACTACTGCAATTGAGTATATTCAGGAGATTAGTTAGTAATTCACTTAAAAATAGAAATTAATATAATTAATAGAAATTAATATATTGGCAAAATAAAAAAAAAACCTCAATTTTCACACTTTACAATTTTGGCTAATTTTCAATCAATACCTTGTATTTTTATTTTTTACAATTCCATATATAAAATGGAAATGGATGGGGAACATTGGGATTGTCAAAAACGCCCTTTTTAAGTTTATAGTTTTAAAAAAAAATATCATTAATGATTTAAATTTTATTGATTGAAAGATAAAGGTAATTTAATTTTGATTAACTATATAAATTTTCTATTTAAATCTAAATTATATTGGATAAAATAATAAATTATATTATATAAGTTATACATTAAATATGATAAAAATATAATATCTTTAAGGATTTTAATTCTACTGTTAAAAAAATCAAGGTAATTTAATTTTTAATTGATTATATTAATTTCATATTTAAATCTAAATTCTATTCGATAAACTAAGAAATTATATTACATACTAAAAAAAAGGTATATATCAAATATGGTAAGAATATTATGTCTTTAAGGATTTTAATTTTATTGACATCAAATATGCAAGAATATAACTATGTTTAATTATTATTTTTAATAAATTTTTAATTTGATTGGTTATAATTATTTCCTACAAGTAACTAATTCTACAAAGAATAAATATTATTTATTATTATTTATTAAGAAGATTTATTGTTGATATATAAAATAGAAAAAATAAACTTCAATGGAAATATTATATTTATAAAATATGATATAAAATAAAAAATAAAACTCAATGGAAATATATATATAAAATATAAAAATTATGATATAACTATTAATAAAAAAAATTCTGTATTTTAATTTTTTTTTTCAATTTTGGATTTAAAAAATAATATTATTTAAAAGTACATAAAACTTTTTTTTTTTCCTTTAATTATTTGCAAGCAAGACCGGTTAAATTGAGCTGAAATAGAGAATATAATAATAATAATAATTGCTAATTTGGCTTCAAACTTAATTTTGGATTTGATTGGATCGCTAAAAAGAGTATGAATGTCATATTGGGCCTTTATCCTTTCAGTGCAATTGAACGAATTGCTCAATTTACCCATAGTATAACCAACTTTTCTTATATACGTACACGTCCAATCGATTAATACTGTGAATAAATTCAATTAAAAATAATAATAATAAATTACCACAATTAAAATTAGATTTTAAAAATTAATAATATCATATATAAAAAAATAAAATAAAAAATTAATTCACGAGTAAAAACAATAAGTACAAACGTAGGTTAAAAAAGACTAATTAACTATAAAAATCATTGATTATAAAAGTCATCAAAACTTACCATGTGAGCGCATATTTAAAACATAATAGCTAACGGATTAAAAAAAATTCAATCCTTCTATTTAATTTTTTTTAATTCATTAAGAGATTCGATGGCCGAGGTAGTTTTTCCTTGCATCCACCAAATTGATGAAAACACTTGTAGTTGAGAAAACTCGAACTCGAAACCTTTCACTGTTCACATAAGTGAGAAGACTATTCAAATCATATCTGATTGACTTCGAGTTTTAAATCTCTACTACTTAGGATTAAGTATTATTTTATTTTTTATTTTTTTATTTTTACTAAATTAATGAAATTTTCAATTAGTAATGATATGCCATTTATGAGTGGTAATATCAACTAACAGTTATCATATTAATTATAGTTGCAATTACTAAAAAAAAAAAAATACAATAAATAAATTTTTTTAAAAAATGGCTAAAATCACGAGAGTTTTAAAATTAAGGGTTTTGTTTTTTTCAATTAACCTTCAATATTTGTCCAAATCATTAGTCTTCCTTTCCGTGGACTCTCATAACCACAGGGAACAACTACTCTAATTTTAAACAAAACAGGTCCCCAAGTTGAAGATAATATATATACGAACCCATCCAGTATGTTTTTCCATCCTCAACATTAACGTTTTTCAGTTTCCTTTTTCCGTCTAAAAATACTCGATCACAGTCATCTCAGCCGGAGAACGATGTCGTTTTCAACGACGGGACATCTCCACCAAGAAGCAACGACAAGTAGTACCGCCTTGTTTCATCATCTTCAATACAAAAATACAAATACAAGTGAGATTGAGGAAGAGACCGACGATCTGTTTTCGATAAAAATTGGAGAAAAAATAGAAACCATAAAAGAAGAATTGGAAGGAAGCACGTTTTCGCTTGATATACGGAGCCGAACACCAGGGGAGGATTGCGTTTACGTTGCAGTAGGAAAAAGCGAGACAAGCGCAGATGCAGTTTCGTGGACACTGAAGAACCTTATTAGAAATGAATCTACTATGGTTTATCTCATTCATATCTTTCCAGAGATACGCCATGTACCTTCTCCATGTAAGCTCTTCTTCTTCTCTCCATATTTTCTTTTTTCCTTCATTTGTTTTTTCTTTTCTTTTTGGCTCTTATGTTTCGGGTCAATGCATTGGACTTGCTTCTGCTATATAATTACAAACTAAAGAATAATTAATTAGCGATCAAGTATGAAAGATTATATTATTCTTGACATCATTAATTAATTAATTGTTAATTAATTGTGCTTAAAGATTTCAATGATAGTTTTCAATGGTCTAGAATTGCAACTTCGGCCGGTTATGGTTGAGCCTCCTAAATTTTGTTTTGTGGGTTGAATCATGACGAGGATATATTTTTCAGTGTTGTTATTCTTCAGAAGTACAATAAAATTATTTTATACCTGTAGATAAGAATTGATAATACCGATGTTTGAATAATTCAATATTTAATAATTTGAATATCCCCGTTTATCTAGAATATCTCTTAATATTTCCTAATTATCTTTTTTTTAATGGAATAGTTCTAATTATCTAAAATAACCACCAAATTCTCTAAAATATATCATAGAATGGTTAAGCATTCAAAATGGGTAACCGTTGCAAGACTACTTTTAAGTTAGCATAGTTAACTCATAGTTAAGCTACTTAAACAACTGTCAAAACAGTTAATTTTGATGAACAGTCCAAAAAAATAGTACGAATATAATGTTTAGCCTTTAAAGTACTCATTTAATGTTTAGTTTTTAAAATACTCATTTAACATTTAAAAGCTAATAGCTAACAACTAAACACTACTATGACAGCTAACAGCTATCAAAACAGTTAAATTTACTTAACAGACCCTTATTTTTCTTTTGATGTTTTCATTTTTTGGGATCATTAAGTATTAAATCTGTCTTATCCAAAAAACCAATAGGTTTGTTTTAAGATTAGACAGCATCTGATAATAATTTTCTTAAACATTTTATTATTACTTAATATATGAAATTCTGAACATGTGCAACCGGATATGTTTTAAATTACATCTCCTAATGTGAAATTTTGCTATCATATTAAACGACATAGTTCTATACAATAGTACTGAAACTCATTTTTATACTTATTTTATGTCTAACTCAATTAAAATTTAAGTTATTATTACTATTTACGTAATATTAATTTCTCAATAAAAAAAAAAAAGGAATTGAAGAACCAATCAGAGAGCTATCAATATTTTGACTCTACATTTCTTTATACATTTAAGCAACAAAATAATATTTATTTATTACTTGAATAAATATTTGAATAAGGTGTTTTGACTGTGTGTGATGAGACAGTGGGTAAGCTTCCAAAGAATCAAGTAAGTCCTGAACAGGTGGAAATATACATGGCCCAAGAAAGAGGCAAGAGAAGAGAACTCCTTCAAAAGTTCATTAATATGTGTTCTGCATCCAAGGTAAAATCTCTTTGTTTCTTTCTCAAATCTATGAATAACAATCTAATAAATAAAAAAATAACCATTTCATGTACTAATAAATTTTATTAAAAATATTCATTTATATTTGGACAAATAATAAAAAAAAAAAAGTAACCATTTGGAATCAATTCATGTAAAATTAATGCACTATTTATTAAGTTTAGAGTTCATTTGCAAAATCCGGTAAAGTTTAGTCGGACATAACCAATTTCCTAGAATTAATTATAAAAAGAGTTTTCATTTATACTATATGATAGATCATATTTAAGACCGAGAGTATAATTGTAATTTAAATGAAGGATCTAGCTATAATTTATCCGGGCTCACCAACCGTCATTCTCAATAATAAATATCTGGGTCAAACGCTCTGTATCATGTTTCTTAGCTTGTACATTAACTTGTACAAACAATTACTACTACTATTATTTTTGTTTATAAATACTTATTATATTTGGAATTTCACGTCCTTGAAGAAAACTATTAAACTTATCTAGAAATCCATTAAATTTATCAAAGTTGTAATAAATTATGGAGTAAATTAACTATACTATCCTTAATTTAATATATCTATATATTATTTTTTTAAGAAATTGAAACATTAATTGTTGGTCATATGCGAAGGGTAAACATAAAAAAAAATTTATCGTTTCTCGAAATCATAAATATGACAAGTATTTTGAAATATAGTAATATGTCAAATGTATTTATTTATAATATAGTATTTAATTATAAATACCTCCTTATTTTCTAGATGGACAACTAACTCATATTGAAACATTTTCTTCTCATATCACTCTTATTCAGTTCAAATATCATTTTTCTTTTTTTTTTTTTTTTTTTTTTTTTTTTTACAACATAATAATCAATACAAATCAATTTTAATCATAATATATATAATATATAATTTAATAATAATAATTAATAATTTTTTTTTTTTTTTTTTTTTTTTTTTTTTTTATCCTTGTTGAATTCAGTAACTGTCAATATCAAACATGAAAATATAAATTTATAATTGAATTATATAAATTTATTATGAAATCTATCTATACCAAATAAATACTAAGGACTTCTAAAATTCAGCCATTGAAACAAATGTAGTGGTAAAGTATCTACCAATCAACCGTACAAGAAATTAGGAGGAAATTTGGATGCTTAATCAAATATATTAAAGGAAAAAAAAAATTTAACGAAGCAGGTTAAGGTGGACACCATACTTATTGAGAGTGATGTGGTTGCAAAGGCTATATTGGAGCTCATTCCCATTCTCAATATTAGGAAGCTAGTGCTTGGAACTACCAAATCCAACCTAAGGTAATTCTCAATATGTTTCAATCTTACCCACTTTCGTATTTTGTTTATGAATTTTTTTTTAATGAACAGGAAAATGAAAGCTAGGAAAGGAAATGGAATAGCCGATCGGATTTTTCAAAATGCATCAGAGTTTTGTGATATTAAAATCATATGTGATGGAAAGGAAGTGATTGAGCAAATGATTGGATTAGCCTCACCATCATCACATGGTGAAATTGGTGATGCAAAATCTATCGAGTTGCTAGATCAACCCAATAATAATGATTCTTTTTCATGTATGTGTTTCAAATCACGTAGAATAATGTGATACAACAAGTGAACATCTTCGTTCAAAAATTAGGGGAAAGGTTGTGTACGTCAACCTTCCTCGGATCTTACGTACGTGGGATGCTGCATCGACCTTTCCTTTTCCTGTATTATTCAATTAGTAATTTACATATTGACATTTAATTTTGTATTGATATTCTAACAATGACTGTCTATTTTCTTGTACAAGATATTCTGGTATAAGCAATAATGAATTATTTATCTTCTCTCACTCAAAATTTTAATAGATTCAATCTAGTTCGTTTTCTCATATTTTGTAAAAAATGTAAACAGATTCGAGTTTCTACCACGAAAGTTATTACTAATTTAGTAAATGTTATTTCAAGAGAATATTACTCCTGTCGTGTAAAAAAAAAAAAAAAAAAAAAAAGAGACATTACGATTTCTAAAATGTTGGTGGGTCTATGAGAAAACACCAGCCCATAGCCCCACAAGGGATACAGTCGTTGAAGATATTGCATGCTTGCAAAATATATCCCATCCCCCAACATTTTTTTGAGCAAGAAAAATTACATTTGATTGTTCCAATTAGAACCTGTCAAAACGTTCTGATCTAAACGTCAATTTATAAAAGGCAATCAACAGTTTAGAATTGTCAATTTATAAAATTAGAAAATCTTTATCCCTCCTGCTTGATAGGTGATTTGATTGTGCTAAGTTCACCTGTAATTATTACAATTACGAGTAGCAATATTCTCCTCTGTGGAAGTTGTCAATTTATCGCTCTGTCAAGGAGTCAAAAGACCTAATGTTGCAGCAACTCCAAAAAATAACAAGGGCCTCCATTTTTTATATTCTCCACCTTTACGTAATTATAGCTTAAACAAATAAATTTGTCGCTTCTTAGCTTCAATCATTGATGTACTAAAATTAATACTACATACAATAATTTACTCCAAATATGGAAACTTGAGAAGGTCTTCGTTACGTGAATAAGTTCAGAAAAAGCATAAATGTATCAACCCAAGTTGCCCGGAAAACAGAATCCGACAAATAGAAAAATAGTATTTTTAAAAGATATAGGAAAGTGGACGCATGGAGAAACACACGAGTATGAAAAAAATATTAAGATAATAATTTCAAAATAATAAAAAGAGAAAATTATTATAAACCATTAAATATATCAACAATAAGTTAAGTTCAATCAACATTTAATCATATCCAAATGAATAAAAGTTCCAGATCATAAAATACATGTCTTGCAGCCAAAGAAAGTTTCATGCAATAAAATATTCAACCAAACAAAAGATGTTGTCTTCGAGTGGTAAAGTTGCAGGCTTATAATTTGTCTCCTCACCAACACACACAACTTTTCTTTATTTTTGAGGAAGTTCCACCGGGATGACCAAAGTTGGAATAATGGAACATTGACCTTTCAGCCAAATTCACGAGGGAAAATTAGCTGGAAAAAAAGTTTAATCCTATGGCAATTTGAATATCTGACCAAGTTCAACGAGGTGAATGGGAAAAAATGAGCCATTTGCCTTAAAATTATGATACAAAAGTTATTGAATAAATTCAATAACCAAAGATGAAACTGAACTTATATATTACACATAAAGTGGCAAATACTACCATCATATTAGTATTCCTGTATTTCTCTAAACCAATCCAGCAGCCATCCAACTTCCTAGTCCTAGGCAGGCATGAACTACTGATATTGGTAACACAGGCAGTAATAGGTTTCCATTGGCATAGGCTAATTTGGCGCCTATTCTGACGCACAAATCTAATGAAAATTCTCAATGTCCCTCTTATTGACAGTCCATGCAAACATGAAATAAGATATGTGAGTCAACAGGCTACAGCCAAAGCATAACATTCAGACTGATCATTGTCAAATATTCAAAGGAAGAGGGGGGCAAAGAAAAAGAAAAGAAAGACTTTATTTCGTCACTGACAACCCCTTTAAGAGGTTCAGACCAATGTTCCCATAAATGAAAACAATTTGCAAATTTCAAGCAAATTACCATCTAAAAGAAATCAAACTCCAGGTAATTATCAGAAACCTTGTATCAGGAGCAGCTACAGTAGCCAACAGTTTCACGTGCTACGGCGGTGGCACAGGTACCCTTTCAACCTCTACCGGCTTCTTGGAATCCGGTGGAGTGCCACAGCGATCAATTGCCCAATTACACCTTCAAAGAAATGGATTGTTGTTTTATTTCTGTTGCCCCTCGCTTGTAGGCCAAATTCTAGTGCGGTTCTTTCACAAGCAAACCCCTATAAATCCTTTGCTGCAAAACTGACAACAGGTGCTTCTGGAAATCGTAAGAGGTTGGCCAACACAAACTTGAATATTGTGGCTCGATTTCCAGATCCCTTTAAAAGGAGTGATTTACCAAATAAGAGGCTCATTATAGAAGACTCCCAAACGTCCACAATCTACAGCGCTTCCATGACCTTCACCGTAAAATCTCAGGGAGCCAAAATACTCATGGCCAAAGGGTCCCAACAAATGACATAGACCCATAGCGTCAGTTTGGCTCTGCTACTAGCCTCAGGTTAATGACTGACTTGATTTCCCAAGTTCATTTGTGGGCTTTCTGGTCTTCTTAGACTTGCTAGAAAAAAGACGGGTGAAAAAAGCATGTCCTGTAGGAGCAAACACAAGACGGCGGATGCAGGTAAGGCTCATTACAAGGCAGTGAACACATAAACTGGATTTTTTTGCAGTGGCCCAACTCAAGAGATGAGGTTTTGACAAAGAGTTGGCTCACAGCACATCGCAGGGAAGATCAAAGTTCTGACAGGCATTATATGCCATCTCTACAAGGCATTTTCTTGGCTTGAGATCTCGGTAAATGATCCCCAGCATATGGACGTATTCCATAGCTAGCAGACTTCTGCTACATAGGAATCTGCAAGACAAAATTTATAAGAGCAACAATGGCACATCAGAAAACCAAAGACACAGAACTGCATCTTATCAGCTTGGAGATATGTACGTAGGTCTTTATTAATTATAAGTGAAAGGCAGTGTTAAACAAATAATGTTCAGGAAAAAATTAGAAAGAAAACATGAGAATTCTTCAAGGCTATGCTAGGTTGTTGGTAAGGAGTCCTCCAACATTTACTAGAGGGTGGAAAGAAACATTAGGGACATTTAAGAAAGAGATCTACAGTTGTGGAAAAATGGAAATACCCCATGCATAATGAATGTAAAAGAACATGCTATGTGAGAGTGAGCAACATGAAGTAGTCCAAGGTTTATATCCAGAGAGAGAGAGAGAATGAGAAGTATTAACTAACACATAAGTCCCCATAATTGAAATGCTTTGGAGCGGGTATTTAGTGACCAGGGGAGACTGCCTACTATTTCCAATTTAGATAATTGACAGTCAAAAGCTATATCTACCGACTGAGCAAGAATAATCAGAGAATATATTCCTCATAAGCAAGATCGGCTTCATCCATTAACTGCCATTTTTGCATTTGCGCCTGTCAAGTAGATTTTAGTTGCAGTTGGATTAGCAGCTTCCCTCCATCTTATAAAAACCCCTCCTACACTACCCAAGAGATTTTTAAACCCATTAACTTCATATTCATCATTCCAGTTTTAAAGCCATCAAAAGAGTCAATTGTTTTGTGATCTCACCTTATAAAATTAAAACAATTCCCCAAGCGAATGAGGTACATTTATTGATTTAGAAATAAAACATAAACTACATGTTTTATGGATACGAACTTTCAAATATTAGAATCTATATTTAATCACTGTATGTGAGAAAAATATGTTACCAAAAGTATGAAAATTAGTAGTGCAAATAACCATATGGAAGGCATGATTAATAATTAAAGGAACGGACATGAAAGTATTCAGGAGGTTTGTTTATCATACTTACAGCCTCTCAGGGGAAATGCTTCCCTTGGTTGCCTCTGCCCCCTAAGAGTATGCAAGTCTCCTCCAGGGCAGAACTCCATTACAAACAGGAGATTTATCTGTCTCAAAGTGCGTATACAGCGTGGAAGAAAGGGTATCCAAGATGCAGAATTCCTCTGTTTGAGCCACCGAGTAAGCCTTTTTCACGACTGGCAAGAAGGGCCTTATCCCCCATAAGCCTTCATTGCAAGTACACTTTGTTCCACTCAACTCTGACGATATACACTCCCAAATCCCAGCAAACCCAATCTCTTGAGCAGTCTAAATGACTCAACCCAAAAACTCCATCTTTTGTCTAACAGCTTGGATGGCTTCCCATCTCAGTCATTATGCTGTATGGGGTTTGCTTAAATACTGCTACTAAAGCTGCTACAAGTGCTACTCATCAACTTACATCACTACTTGTGCTTCCTCTACAACATGACTGCTGCGTGTTCCACTCTCCACATTCAACACGATCACTGGTCTTGCACTTCCAACTAGTTCTTAGGCAAGGCTACTAGTTTCCTCACTAACTTTGGCAGATACTGGCTGTTTTAACACTCCTATTCTTGAGGTTTTTCTTCTCTTGATCGACAGAAACATCCTGTGATCCACTTGTCTCATTGATTGGAGGACTCTACTTCAGTGGATGCTTGACAAAGAGCTAAGAAGAACTGGATTCCAACTTATACTCAATGAATTCAGAGGTCCTTTTTATCTAGAATTTGGTTGCTTTTTATTTTAGAGGCTTCTTTCCAGCAAAACCTGCTATAGTTGTTTACTGACCTAGGCACGTGGCATGATGGACAAGCTCGGATTTGCTAGCCTATTTGAAAACTCTGAAAGGCAAAGGCTTAAACTGTGCTCAACTTTTTCTGAAACACCAAATGATTGTTAATAGGAGCTTTGGTCAACTTGCTTCTGGAGGCCATATATAACCACAGTTTCAAAACTACATCATATTAGATCAAAACCAATGCCCAGGAAACCCATCACTGGAAGCATTGCCGCCAGATTTGGTATGTTCCAATCTGTGTGTTATCAAATCATGCCATAAAACGCCAATAACTCTGTATTAAATAATTATAAGATCTATAACAATTAAATCTGCATCAAATATATGCTTACATAGAAAAAATGGAACTTCCTGACACCCAAAGGAGAGTGATCTGAGGTACAAATCTTAAAGCTATAAAGCCCAATGTTCATTATTCGAAGACAACAGGTAAGTAAAGTGCAACAAGCCCCAATTTCACAAGCCCAAGCACTGAAATTTACAGGTCAGATCAGAAAACAGAAACATACCAACATTATAATATACAATGACAACAAGGGTTCAACATAGATATCCAACAAATAACTAGAATCATTGAAATTTAGCTAAATAAGTCAAACCACAATCCAAAAGTTTCAAAATCACTAATAGAACATAAAACTATAATAAAATCAAATTCTATATTTCCCAGAAAAATTATGACTCTATCAAAAGCTGCATTGAAGAACTATCGAAATTGATAAAGAAAGGATCAAGTAAGATCGGACTTCACTAGCTAATTGAGTCCACACACTTTCTTGTGCCAAAAAGGGGGAAAAAAAAACACAAAAACCTGAACTTAAATTTTGGAAAAAAAACACGAGTTTAAAAAAAAAAGAAGAAGAAAAATTCAAGGACCAACCAAGGAAAAGCCAAGAGAACAAGTCCATCAAGTCAGCTTACTAACAAAATGCAGTTTGCACAAAAATCTTAACTAATAGCAGAAAAAACAATTAAAAGCCCAGGCATAGAAAAAAAGCGATCAAAGGCCAATTAAGCAAGCCAAATCTTGACACAGAATGCAGTGAACACTAAGCCAAACCCCCTAGATCCAAGCAAACAAAAGATACCCAGATGCAAAAAAAAAAAAAAAAAAAAAAAAAAAAAAAAAAAAATAACAGTCAAAGGAAAAAAAAATAAAACTCAAAAAAAGAAAATACCTACTCGAGGGATCAGGAACTTAGAGACTCACTTTTGCAGGTGAAAAGAAATATAGACAGAAAATTGAGGGAAATAAGCACTGTAAAAAGAAAGAGCTTCCGGTAGCCTTAAATAACGTGTCTGGAGAAAGAGGAGGAAAGGCGAAAGCAGGAGTGAAAGGAGGACGAAAAAAAGGTATAAAAATTGTGAACTGGACCTTGTGTTTCTGTGGACTATTAGGCGGAGAGAGAGACAGAGACGGAGTCAAAGCCCAAAGCTATAAGTTTAAAGATTTTTTTTTTTTTTTTAAATATTTTTCTTGAAAATGGGACCAGAATCTCATTGGGTGTTCATAGAAAGATCCGAATCACCAAAAACAGGTCTAGGAGCTTCAACTTGTTCTGTCATGGCCACGCTCTTCTGAGGCCATGTACATTAGAATCCTCTTTAACTTAATTTAAGCTCCGTCCCTTTTATCTTCCTTTTCATCCAAATTACTAAACGCCTTCCGTTGTGCTTAATTTTTTTTTCATTCAATAAATTAAGTAGTCAATTTGAAATAATATATTACGTTTTTTTCAATATTTTTCAATATGAAATTACTAAGAGCCCTTCAAAAGAAAAAAAAAAACCAAATTCCATCTGCAAGTTGTGTAACTTTACCGGAAAAACCCAGTTATGATTATAAAAAACAACTCTTTTTTAAACCCCCCCTTGCGAAAGTTGATCCATTTTGTCTTGAAATTATGAATTTAATAACATTAATCTCTTCTCTTTT